CCTACATGGACCATTTGGGAAGAGTGGTATTATAGTCCTGTAGTCCTGTCTGGTGAGCGTTCTCCACTTCCTGTATGAATAAAAACTTCCCGGGGCTCTGAACACGTTGCTTATTATAGAGGATTTTTCCTTGCCTCGACCCTGTAGCATCATCCGAAGCCAAATTAAGCTCAACAAAAGCCCTCGAAGTTGAGGCTGCCAAAAAGCCGGCTTCAACCCCCAGGAATAATGTCGCAACCATCCCACACTTCATTCATCTTGGCGACAATTACCTACAACCAGGTCGTCCTCATGGCCGAAGGAATTCCAGCAAAGAGTCATCATGGTACGAAGGCTTCGGACTCTGGCTCCAGGGCTGAGAAAGTCAACTGCAGAAGCTGAAGTACGTGAAAGAGATCGGCTCATAGGGAGCATGCGGAGGCTCTATATTCGTCATAGGTATGTTTTAACACATGTATGGAAGTTCTCAGAAGAATCCCTGTAGAATCCCAAACAAGGACCCCCACAATGCCCTTATGAGCTCTACACATTTTGAGAACCCCCAGTTCGTCTAGATCTTGTAGAGGTCTGCCCGCGTGACGAGATGAGAGGATGCAGTTTCGTGGATTTTGTGCAAGAGCCTCATCGCGGCGAGGCAACCCAGTTTGGGATTGAATTGGAAGAGTTCCTGAAGTGTATCCCTGAGGGTCCGAGGAACACAATAGGTACTTGGGATTTTGATATTAGCAATTCTGGTACGGTTTTGACGAAGCGTATGTTTATGAATGAACGAAATGAGCGGCATCGTGTGGGCAATAGAAGCAGCGCAGTCGACGTCTTGAGCCACAATGCTTCATTGCTGCCCATCGTTCTGGGTTGGCAGCGGAAATCACCTTATCATACAGGATTACCTGACAGATCTTCTTAGTCATTGAGCAGGGTGCCCTGATCAGTAGAGGTTTCAGAGTCCCTGATCAACCTGTGTGTTTGGCTAGACTTGGTTGGGAGATGGCAGGAGATGGTGGGAGGCAGTGTCCTGCCATGGTCATGGTTTAGGTTTCTAGTCTTTTGACCATTCTATCTCTATGACCCATTGGGCTCAGTTGCGGTGAATATGTTCATGTTATAGCCCTCTCTTGGCTCTTTGGCTAGAACTGTTGGAGTCCCCCGCCCCGGATCCTGCTTTGGGTCTACGTTTCGTTTCGTAATAGTTGCTACAAATGGCATCAGAAGCTTGATTTATTGTGAGGCCTCGTATGGTTCCTACAGGTTGAACAGGATTTACATATTACTCAGGGTATCGATGCTAGCAGTAGAGATTGCAACAATACGCCCAACTTCTTAATCCTAACCCGAATCCCATGCCCTGAGCTTATAGTCCCCCTTAAGTA